CCCCCCCCAAAAAAAAAAAAAAAAAAAACCAAACCCAAAACAACCTTTTAATAAACCTGTTGTTGCTAAGGGTTATAAATAGGAATGAAGGACAAAATGAGGAACATCTATGTGACAGTGAGATTTACTAACCTGCAATAGTTTCCTAAGGGACAGGTGCAAGTTATGTTGAATAGGTCATGGAGCTCTAGATTTCACCATGCATAACTGCTAGGAGTATAAATGAGTGAAATCAACCTGACTCGCTAGGGAAATGAGCCCTCAATAAAATTTACAGAAGTGCCTAAACGTTTTGGAAGTCTAAATCTGTTTTAAAGTGATTTCTGCACTAGATTCTTGTGGTGTTTGACTCCATTGAAATACCTGAATTAGTCTGAAGCATAAATGTTCGTTAAAAGACAAGGCTTCTACAGTGTCAAGCAGAGGATGTTCATATAGTAATGTTGCATCTGATATTAGGGGCCTGTGTTAGTACTTAGTTGGAAAAAGTAGTCTCTGTTTTGGGTGCTCCAAATAGCTAATGATGTGTATGTATTTATACACCATACATATATATATATATTTATGTATGCTTGATCCCTCTCTGCCAAGTGAATAATTTCCTCTACAGATCCTTGATTTGCCTCATGTGCAATATGACTGATTTCAATTTAAAAACTTTTCTGTGTGATATCTGTGTGATTTTTCATAGAACAGGCAAACAAATCGCATCCTCTGTCCTCTTCCAAAGGAAGAGCACTTCAGTAATATTTTTCCAGGAGTGTTTTAGCTTCTATAAAATTCCATAAAACATCTTCAGAGTAAGTGCAAGGTGGGTTTTTGTTTTCTTAACTTTTTGACTCTGTGGTACCTATTAATGTTAGCTGAAGGCACGTACTAAATCTGTACTGCCCTAGGACTCTGTCTGCACGCAGCAGTAGTGAGGATTAGCTGGTTGTCTAGAACAGATCAGTTTATCCTTCTTAAAAGAAGGGCAAAAGAGTCGTTCTGAATTTATAGGCATGGAAACCTGAAACATAAATTGCAGTACTCCATGTAACCATGTACTAAGATGGAGGAAGATGGTCACATGTTTGCTGCTCATTAGTTACAGGACTTGGAAAAGATATTCCCCTCTCTTTTAGGCAAGACACTGCACAATTGGTCAAGCCTGTCCTTATGGTCACTACCTTCCAATAACACCTAAGCCTGGGTGACGTTTGTGTTGGCTTGCCTGGCCCAGTGAACTGGTTTATCGTGACTTCTTTTTTTTTTTGGCTTGACACAAAAGAAGAGGGTGGATGAAACCCAGGATCAGGTGTCTATTTTGAAGAGGAGTCTGTTTTAAATATGCTTCTCCCACATTTGCTCAAGGAGACACGCCACGCTCCCGGTATTGTATTCAACATATCTTTCTTGAAACTCTTTATCTACTCACATAATTAAAAAGGTATATAAAATACCAAGTCTTGCATATTTCTAGAAGCATAGATTTTTGTCTCGTCTCCCTAAATGACTTATACTGCCAAACTGCAATAGACATTTAAAGAGTGGTGGTGTTGGGTAGAAATCTCTGCAATTTCAAGTGTCTACAGAGGTGGATCTTTTGGTTTCTTAGTAATTTGGACTTTGTAATCCTGAGTTTACGAGGCCATATTTCAGGACAATATTTGAGCATTTATGCTTTTTTTTTTTAAATATACAAAGAAACAGCATCAAACCGTTAAACAAGCTGACAAAAGGCTATAGCCAAATAAAAATAGGCTGTTTCTTTTTCCAGAAAAAAGTGCAATTAAACCTCATGATTGTGCTGCACCCCATACCAAGTGAGGTTGCTGTAGTGGAATTAAGGAGTGAACACACCCAGTCTGAAATGTGAGGCTTAATTTTCAGCTGTGAGTTATTCCTGGTTATGATCTCATTTTATGCCGTGAAAGTAATCAAATAACATTAGCTCCTGAGTGTAATTTTTTTCCAGAGGGTGATGCTTATTAAAGTCAAATGGAGTCCTGGCAAGACTCCAAAAAGCTGTGAAAATTTGACAGTAAAAGCACGACTTAAATGCATGAAGATTTGCATTCCGAAATCCAAAACCTTTATTCATGCTGAACAACTTGAGGCTATCTTTAGTTACATAAATCCAACACTTTACTTACCTTTAAATGTTGGTGTTTCATTTTTTCTTCTTCCACTTTTAGACGTTTCTGTGTAATTTCTTCTTGCAGTTTTCTTTTGTCCTACAAATTAAGAGAATAATGAAACTTTGTTTAGAGAAATTACTTGATGCTAAAAAATTGTTCAAGTGTTGTTCAGTGGAGTGAAATCAATCCATGCAAATAAAGCCTTATTTTAAAGCTTATATGGCGCTCAGGCAGTGCATAATTTTTAGCAGCAACAGCTCGTGTCCTACGCAGGTACGGTTTCCATTACTCTTTCTCTGAAGTACATTTAAACATGTTAATGACCACAAAGCAGGGATGATCCAAATTAGAAATAATTTACTGTTGGGAAGGGTAGAGGAAGAAAACAGGAAGAAATAACATTTGAGCACAATCGTACATGCAAAATGAGGTTAGAAATGGGTCCTGACCAAAATTCCTAAGGCAGCCCACACATCGTTTAGGAGAGGAAAGAGTCTGCATGGTCTACACTGTGCAGCTGTGATACATCGCTAAATGAAATGGGCTGTTGGTGAATCCAGCACTGAGCTTATGTATCTTGTGGCTAATAGCTGAAATAAACAGGAATAAATAAAGACATAGAAATTTATTTCATTAGTCAAATAGTGGTAAAGGTGAACACAGAGAAATGTAGTATGCTTCATATATAATGTTGTTATCTCTCAATTAAAAAAAAAAGATTTTTGTCTGTACAAAGGCTGTTTTCATCACTGCTGAACTTTAGAAGGAAAAACCTCAAGTAGTACTGGTCTATCATAGTGCCACCTTCATCCTTTTTGCTACAGATTATAGAAAAAGGAAATGGGATGAACAGTCTCTGAATGCTGGCAACACTTGAGCCTCTTGTGTCTTTGGATAGCTGCTGTCACATGGGGCATCCTTGTGGCTCTTCTATATGAGGCCAAACACTGATTTAGTACTTTGCGTCCTCAGCAGCCAGTGGGAAGGAAATCATGCCAAAGGAAGCTAACTTTTTCTCTTACAAGCTGTATTAATAGGCTATTCTCTTGGTCAGCCTTAATGCTATAAAATCCTGTTATTGGACATGGCAACTTTTGCACTTGTTTCTTGCCATGTTTTAGGGAAGTAAATTAAATCGTCTGTTGTCCTGTGCAGACATGATTGCTGACGGGAGACTAATCCCCCTTTCCTTTCAATTCAAACAGATTACTGATAGGTTTTTTTAACAGTCTGTTTTCAGACAAGTATGGCTTAGGAAGGAGTTAAGTTCTTCACAAACATAGGAAGAGACTTGCCCTTTCAGCTCACCTGAGGAACCAGCTGTGTGTAAAAAGTGTGGAAAGTCAGTAAGAAGGAAGTGCTGGGCATAAGGCTGGGAGTTGTTCTCCACCGTTTCCCTAGGATCTGGGACTTGGAAACAGGAAAAGCTGCGGTGTGCTTGGCTGAATCACTTCGCTGTTACTGGAAATGAGAAATTACCAGTGGGGCCCCTTTGCTTGAAGGATAGGAGGTAGAAGAAACCACCTAGCCTTGCGGAGGCCGAGGGTAGGACTACAGGCTGCCCAAGCACAACTGATGGTATGCTGGGGTTTAGTAAACGAATGCGTGTCAGTGATCTCTTCTCTCTTGCAGTCTGTAGAATGCAGTAGCCATCTATAAACAGCACCTGTACTTTACAATTTTTCCTTGATGGTGTTAGTCTGCCTCTTTACTACACAGAGCAAGTAGGGATCTTGCCTCAAGATACATGCTACCTTCATCTCTGTAGTGGTTTTGGGTTTTGCCAATGCTCTTGAATACAGTTAACAAAGCTACTGATTTAGGATCACTACAATATGTAATTTTTCTGCAGTGTCCCTTTTTAGAGACTTTATCCAAGAACTGCTATGCTGGATTTTACTCAGCCAGTCCTGATTTTGGACACACAGCATATGATATTTGACCTTCACACTTTTCCTTAGTTAGGAAATTTTCCTGATCTCATTGTATAAATGGCCTTTAAATAACCCATCATTAGGTGAGTAAAGTGTGACAAGAGCTTGTTTACAGATTGTTACAGTTCTTAAGGAAACTGCTTTTTCTCTTTACTAAAGGTCTGGATAAGATTCTTAGCCAGAGAATGAACTCTTACTTGGTTTGTACTGTTAGAACATATTCTAAGTCAATTTAAATATTCTTTTTATACCAGTGGAGAAGTATACTAAGAGTTTGGGCAGTCTGAAATGAGAAGTGGTACACAAAAATACTGTGCAGAAAGAAATCAGAGTGCAAACGCACAAATAACTGCATTTTAAATTAACTGTGTAATAAGAAACCTATTCAGTAATGAAACTTTTGCCTGTTTCTCTTGTTAGAGGTCTGTGTTTCTCTTGCATACCATATTTTTTTCTCTTAAAGTTTTCTACTTGTATCCTTTGGTGTTCCAGCATGTTTTAATTTCACTGGTTGGTAATAAACTTCCATTATACAATTATCCAGATTAAATAGGTTGAAATAGATTGTCTTTTATATATCTAGTCAAAGAAAGCTGAAAGTCTAATGCCAGAAGCTAACTTCAAGGAAGGTATATGAGGAACCTTTTTGAAGCTTGTGTTGCCAGGATAATTTTTAAAACCTGTTAGGACACTTCCTACAGTGTATTCTGCTATGCTTTGTCTGCAAATCATGTCTTGCTGTATAAAGCTTTGACTATACATGTAATGGAATAAATGTTTATTCCTAGATAGCTAAGAGATCCATGTTTCTACTGAACTTCATGCTCTGCCCCTGTAGATAATCAAGTTGCTGGCAGAAGTCCTCTAATCCTCTTGTTAATGTGGGCAAGATTTGCTTTTTATGAAAGAGCACCGTCATCCCTTCCTCTCTGTTGTCCATCGGTGCAAGGTGGGACTTGAGCCTTGGTCCTAATTTTCACTCCTACTGAAACATGTAGGAATCTTTCCTGACTTTTGAGCATAGAAAAGAATTTTGTTCTGAATTGGATCTAACTGAAACGAAGGGAAATGCATCTATGGAGCAGTGTCTTGCTAGGTATCTTGTGTGCCAAGTCCATTAGTTTTTGTCAGTGTTCCACAGTGGTGCCAATGCTGGTCTACTTGGTCCCATGACAGATGCCGTGTACTGTCAAGGCCAATGGAGCAGCTGATGTATTTTTGTTTTCATATAACTTTTGTTTTCATATAACATTACAGAGGTAATGTTTGGTTATTGAGGGTAATAGGGAGTTATAATGGGCACTTTAGTCTGATGGCATGAGACTGCACAAATGTCATAATTCAAATCTTTAATCATAATTCAAGTCTTTTATAATTTTTGTTTTCCCATGGAATGGAATATTTGATGAGAAAGGATTAAGCCTAAGGTTCCTCTTTGACTGTTTCGTCTCAACACGTTTGCCACAGCAAACGCTAAAGCTTTTGTATTTTAAGATACGACAGTCTCTCTAACAAAATGGATGCATTTTATTTTTTACTTGTTATATTCTATATACACCAGCAGCAGGTGGAAGCTATATAACAGAGAAAACTGGTTCCTTTTCAGAGCCATGGGAGCACCAAAATCTTAAAATAGTAGTAATAATAAGGTTTTCCTTTTTGCTTTGCTACATAGAGAAGATATGAAAAAGAATTTGGAAGCCCCTAGTGGCTCTGTGAGAGCCAGATGCTGTAAAGGAGCCAGGCATTTAACAACAGAATCCAATCAGGTTTTAGTGCAAGCGTAGGTGTTTACTGCTTTGAGCACCTGAGTGCCCCTTGCTATCCTCTGTTAGATCCTTTACAACATACATCTTGTAGGTAGTGCTTGAAATTCCCAGGTATGTTGCTTGGGACAAACCTTCCAAGTAACTCGCAATTGCAATTGTAATGTGTTGTTTTCTTAGACAACTCATATTGCAGATTCTTAAACCTGATAACTTCACCTTATTTAGGCTCCTTCATTTCTGCAGTGCATTATAACAAATACACTGTTTCAATTAAATGCTCTCAATTGATGAAAGTAGAGAGCAAATCGTTCCTTTACGCAGCAAGTGTAATAAATGAAGCCATGGCCAGAACCCAAATATGAGTTCCTATTTCCTGTAATGCAAGACGCTGGAAGCTGTCACAGTTTCTTAAAAAAAAAATACTTCTCCAGTATTTGTCTGGAGGCAAAGAGGCAGCCAGAGGATGCTAACCCCAGTACGTTCATAGGAGTCCTCATCAGGCAAGCGTGCTGCCCCATTCCTCCTGTCAGATACCAGGAAGTACAAAACATTGCGAGGCCCGGACTTCTCTGGAGCGCCAAGATATTTCTTATCTTTTGAGCCAATATGCTAGAGACAAAGTCCAGGTTATGAGTCTGGTTGAAACACCATTACAGTTAAACAAACAAACGTACCCTAAACCCTCTAAAACCTTTCAAATTACCTTATTGTGGGCTTGAGTCAGGTCTCAAGTAAATACGATAAATGGGCCTGTTGGCTTTGATCAAGTGTCATAATTAAAACCCAACCTATTCAACTCCTGTAGATTTCCAGTTATGCCTTCTCACATTTATTTTGATTCCAATAAGGTATTTTTTAACTCTGCCCACTATTTATTCAGCCAGCAGTGTTTGTGTCACAACTAATCTGTCATGCTAAGAGTGTGAAACATACCTTTGTTCCCATTATTTGTTTTTAAAGATTGCCTGTGACAGTGAGTGATCTTTCTGCAGTTTTCCTTTCATCTCAAAGGGCCAAATTTTTGTTTCGGTTTAATTCTTTTGTAACTGAATAAGTTTCGGTGGAGATCAAATCAGAGGAGAATTTGGATTCAGCCATTTTTGTCACATCAGGTTATATTCCTTTAAAAAATAACTCGGTAGTTCCTTTAAAATACATCAAATCTTTTGAAGCAGATTTCCCTTCAGAAGAGAAACTGAAAATGTTTTCTAATGTCTTCAGCATAAACTTCACCGAGTTATCTTTTTTTTTTCCTCCTCTGAAAACCGACAGGTAGGAATTTGCTTAATCCAAGCTTGTCCTTTTTTACTTTTCAGACAGCAATATTCATGATAGTTCATCAATAATTCAGAAACTGGTTTTGCATTGTGGAATTAAATACAAAAATCTTTCATCTCTCAGTTTTGTTGTGAAATGGGAAAATTGATTTGTTCTGGAATTCTCTAGCTGCCTTTTGACCTGCTGTCCTTCAGGCAAACATTCAGTTGTGATGATAGTAATATGTATTTTAGACTGTCCAGTAGTGATTTGCACGCATACTTTCACTGCTTTGAATTTAATTTAAAAGTGCAATACAACCCATAATAAAGCCAGTACAGGCAACTTTGCTTTCTTAAAGCAATAGCTTATAAACCAGAATTAAAAAGTAACAATTTCAAGCAGACATAAGTCTCTTACTTTTTCCGTCCTGGGATAAATCATTCTTCAGAAAACACGCAGTAGCTCATTAACACAATACTACTTCTAAGCCTTTTTTTTTTTTTTAATAGGGAGTTATAACTATAAGCACTTACTGTTATGGCCTGGAATCTTTCTTTCAGCAATTCGGCTTCCTCCATTCTAGAAATCAAAAACAGACAGGTATTGAAGGAAAACAGAATGAGACCATAAGCAAAAAGCCTCCTGGTGGGGCTACAAAAAAAGCTGAGGTGATTTGATCCAATTCCAGAGCAGAGAGAAGGCAGAATTTTTGACTTGTCAGGAGAGTCCCTGAACAGATGAGCAGATCAGTCCAGACAGACACATGTAATGAGGGTGTGTAGAAGAGGCAGACGTGGAGAGTGCTGGCATGAGTTGACTGACAAGTTGGAACAGTGGAGTACAAGCCCTTTTCCTTCAGAAGCTGCCAACTCTTTGTTTTAATGTGCTCGGTTAGCGTGCCATTGCTTCTTTAACTGTTAAATGCCCAAACCAGAATCTTCCAGGACCATGGTAGAAGTAAACTTTTATTATGTTCCTATTTCTCTTTCCTCCCTTTGTGTATGCTTCTGGTGATAAACAGATATTTTAAACTTATTAAGTATTCCTATTTCTTATGAAACTTATTTCACCTGTGTGTTTTAACCTGTTGTAAAGTTAGCACTGTAGGTGGCATGTTTGGTTTTTTTTTTTGAGAGGGCAGTTTTAATTTAGTTTCCTAGATTAAAGTTTTAGAGAAGCTGTGTTCATAGCTGGAAGAATGTTTTAGAACGGCTAACCTAAAGTAAAATAAACTTTAAGCAATCGGGTCTGTCATTCAATGCAAGTGTTAATCTCTGCAGTTACTGGTCAGCTATCTAGGACTCAGGGGAAGCTTTGTCTAAGTAAGGATTTCAGGATCATCATTTCAGTGTTACCAAGATGAGTCTAAAATGCCAGTAGCTCTCATGCTGCATTTCCATTCAGCTGACTTGAAGGGTTTTTTTGCTGTGGGCTTCTGCTGAAAACAGCATTATCCTCCTTAAGGGATGGCGTACATTTTGACCTTTCCCATTACATGAGAGGGAGTCAGCCTTCCAAAATCAATCTAGGAAACTTGCAAAACAAGTGGAACTGCCTCTAGTAAAATCCAGTTGTGGAAAAAATTCTAAGCAAGATAGAGCTGAATTCAAACAGCATGAAGATGCAATGTGAATCTGGAATCCTTTTGTTATCCTCAGTATCATGTAACTTAAGCCTTTGTGAGGACACCAACAGGAGAGTCAGTCAGCATGTTTGGTTTTTTTCCTGCTAATTTATTGAGATGACCTAAGCTCAGCAGGATTCGGTGAGGGTTTTACTTTACATGTCAGTACAGTGACCTGAATCTTGGTGGCAAATCAGGCTCATTACTAGCAAATTCTAAGATGTTACAGAATTGAACACTTGATGGTGAAGTTACATCCTCATAATTCAATATGAATCAATATTTAATTTCAATTTCCAACTTTCTAGTATGTCGTCACTCATCCATATACACAAGCAGACTATCCCCCTCCACACTGGGATTAAGGATGCATTAGTGTTTTGTTTATACTGTGATCCACCCTGAGGTTTTGTTCAAACTTGCAAAGACCCCATGTTTTATTCTCCAGCGAACATTTTTTTTTTTTTTAAATATTAATATATGCCTCATTTGGTCAGCACCAAAATTAAAAAAACTACCACATAAAAGCAAATGTGACAAAGACAAGTGTACTGAGGTATATCAAGAGACAGATTACATGGGAATTTAAATGCATTCTTTTTATGGATTTGAGAATAAGTTCAACCACCCCACTGAATTAACTATGTTCTTGCTGTAGAAACCAATAGAGAGACAGTCTTTCTGTTTAATCTTTCATAAGTTAGTACAGCTTGCCTTATTATATTTTGAAAAAAAAACCCCAAACTTATTTCATCTTTGTTTTCTCTGAAGTTCATCTTGAAATTTAAGTGCGTATGTGGATTTCAAAATGTTTAAAAATGTTTAAAGCAGCAAATGATTACATCAGAAATAAGGAAGTCTCTTTTGGGCCAGAATCTGTACTCTGATATAAATGGGATTCCATTCTCAATGGGTGGAGAAATGAGATCGGTATTTCAAGTTAGAATCAATGGGATTGCATTGCTTTGAATTTTTATGATCTAAAATATTTTCCTAACTTTATGCTCCAAAATGATTTAAATGCTTTTAAAAATCTTACTTGTGGATGTTACATATTTACAGACCAGAAAAGTATTTAACATGTCTTTCCAACCCCCAGATTTTGAAGTAAACTGAAGATGGTTTCTAAAATGTTGCTTCCCTTTTTAAGTGACCGTTATTAAGGAAGTATTTAAAGCCCACTTTAAACATTTTAAATTGTTTAAATCATATATATCCCCTTGCTAGGCAGGATTTGTTGTTCAGTCAATAGGTTGTTACCTTAATCCTATTCTAAATGGGATTTATGTGCAAGAGAAGAAATGGACCAGCTGTCATTTTGTCTGCCCCTTCAGGCTGCTTCCCCAGTAGGAGTACCCACGGTGTTATAGGTTAGATCCGTGAATCTGAACAGCTGTGTTTTCAGTCTGCAGGATTCTTGGAACAAGGTTTTTCAGAACTTGCCTGCCAGAAATATATCCAGAGGAAACTATCCACCTATTCTGCAAGATTAAGCAAAAAACAAAACAAAAGCTTTTGGAAGAATAACGTGTTAGCTCGTGTTTCTGTAACTCTCAACCGTATATTTTTCTTTTGGTAGAACAGATTCTCTGAGTTATGCAGAAAATGTTTGTTGTATCACATGATGAGTCATACAGGTTGGATTTTTTTGGCTTCACTTCTTCCTTTGTTCATTTCCATTTTGCACTGGGTACCTAATGTAGGAGTAATGATGAGAATCTAAAGCACAAGGTGAAACACTTGCGTTATGAAGTCTTAAAGAAAAATGGGTGGGAATTTAGAAGAAAGCAATATCCTAAACCAAATCTAGAAGTAGGACCACAGAAGCACTTTCACAGCTGGAAATGCAAGTTCCGTTGTCCATTTCTGGAGCAAAGTCTGAGTACTGGCGTAGAGAAATCCTGACACTTCAGAACTGTAGTGGCTGTCCCTGGCCGTACTCTACAAACAAAACCACCCTCAGTTTTACTCATTGCAGTGGGATTTCTTTTGAAACAAATCATTAACCTAAGGTAATACATGTACAGTGAGTTATAGATTTATTGTAGTAGCAAACAATTGCTTCTGAGAAGAAACATCTCATTAAAGGTAAGGAGCAAGATGGTTTCACTGTTTGAAAAAGTGAGTTTGAAATGAATGGAGTTGATCAGATTGTTATCAGTTGAAAACATA